TTCACTCTACCATTTGAGCTATAGCTAAATAATTGTTAATTCATGGAGATAAGAGTCTCATGGACTCTGAACTGCACTTTGGGCTTTGGACTTTGCCTGGTCTGACTTTGAACTGTGATCCTCAGATCTCAGCCTCCTGAGTATCTAAGATTATAGACGTGAGCCATTAGTGCCCGCTTAAAATGATTACAAATTCTTAAGTATGTGGGGGTGGGAAACATTTGAAAGAGCTTGGCAGATGAGAGACTGGAGCTTTAGAAGCCTGATGACTCTCCAATGTCAGTTACCAGAGTCAGAATGAGAAGCCATGACTCCCTGTTCACAACTCTTCACACTCTAAATGACAGTGGAGGTTGGTTTTGTTGGTGTTGTTGTTTTTCATTTTTTATTTGCTTGATTCTTTTGAGTGGTAGATTGGGGAACAATCCATCTGTCATCCTTCCAGTAGATTCTTCTCTTGATCTCAAACTTGGCTGTTGTCCTCAGGAATCAGTCAGGCAAATCTCATTGCTATCCACAAGCGTTCCTCCGTCAGACTCTGAGCATAGATTTGAACCAATGCCATTATGTTTGACAATCCCTCCTCCTCCCCCTCCCCCAAAACCCTGGCATAAGCCCTCCCTCCTGGCAGAGTTCACCTAGCCTAATTGCTTGTTTTGTATCCCAGCTGCCTGACATATGCCAAACCCATGTGTTGACTCCCTGATGTCAAAGGCAACTACACCAGGATACTTCAGAGTGGCTTTTTGTCAGTTCCAGCAGTGCCTGGATCATATAGTTGACTGTATGTACATAACACAGTAGTAGCAATAAGGATTTGGGAGTAAAAAGTCCCAACTTTGAGTACAAGTTCAATCAGTTGAGTTCCTCTCTGGGTGATTTTGAGCAAGTCTTTTCTCTCTGAGTTTTAGTGTTTTGAACTTTATTCACTGAACAATAAAAGGGAAACATCCCATATTTAGTCTGTCTAATTGCAATAAGGCCCCATTCCCTGTTCTAGCTCACATACAAGCATATGGGACAGATCTGTAGGTGTGAATGGTATAAACATGTGATAGTCACAGTAATGAGTAATTCACAGTAATCTCTCCATTCACAGTAATGGAGAGATACTTGTAAGGTACACAAGAGCCCAGATGTACAGGTGATTAATTGTGCCAGAGGAGTTGGTTAGCCTTACTGAGGCCATGATACTGGAAGAAACTTTAAGCATGAGTAGAAAGCAGTATCTTCCAACTCCATTGGTCAAGATGTGACCAAGGAAAAATAAAACACATCATCTATAGGACTGCTGGTAAGACGCTGATGTGAACTAGCTAAGAAACCAAAGTGATGTGAGTGGTTGGGTGCCCAACATCAATGACTTCTCACCAAAGTGGTCTTCTATAATGGAACCTCACATTCAAAGCTGCAGCTGTTTCTTAGCCACCTCCCCAACACTGAGCAAGAACCTAACCCTTAACTATATAATAGGTCCATGTTCAATTGCTGTGCAAAGGGCACCTCCTATCAGCTCATAAGAACTGATGATTAAATATTTAAGGTTAGGAGTGTAGCTGAAGTTGTAGAGGCTCAGGCTTCGGTATTGAAGAAAGAAAGAGAAAGGTTTTCAAATTCTGGGACTTGGTTGCTAAACCCAGCCATTATTAAAAACTAAATTGCCTATAATTATATACTAAAAGGTTTTAAATGTTCAAAACTCAATTAATTTCCAAGTATTTTGCTGTATTTTAGAATTATCTTTTGATTTTGAGGTTATTTGGGGCTAATTACATTTCTGTGGTGCAATACTATGTAAGTCTGTTCCTTCCTGGCTCTGTGTTTAGTAGAATATTGTTGGTAGCTTGAAATAGGCCATGATGGGAATATTTACACCATAGCAGTGGGAAATACTGCAGACTACAGCTGTTTTTCTTTTCTTTTCTCTTTCATTTTTCTCTTTCCTTCTTCCTTCTTTCCATCATTCCTTCCTTCCTTCTTTCCCTGTATATTGTTTGAAATAGTGTTGGCAAGCATTTACCAACTGGTGGCATCCACTGAGTAAATGCAGAACACCAAGCAAGCATCAAGAAGCTGGGCACTCGTAACTTTTCACACCTCTCTAGAGAAAAGCATGTGGCATGATGCACATTTTTGAAGGCTCCACTGGGCCTCCTCTCCCATGTCCAGGGAGGCTATATGTTAAATGGGTTTTCTCGACAACTGAAAATTCATGATCAAACGGAAATTGGATGGAAGTATTTTTCTTCAGGACTTGATTTCTGAGTCAAATGCCTGTTTTGGTGTGAGGTCTCAATGACTTACAAGGGTACAGGGAGTCAACCTAATCTTCTCCAGAATCCAAAAGCAACCCACAGGAGCCTGGGCTAAAATGACATCTGCTCTGGCTTGCTGAACTACAGGCTATGGAAGAGCCAAATGATGCTGATTCAGCACTTCCCAGTTATCAAGAAATCCCCAAAGAGAGAGAAATCAGAAGAGGGGCTGGCCTGTATGCACACGAGAGCATGCATCCAGGACAACCCTTCTTCCCTCACCACCAAAGGAAGCCCTGCCCAGAGTGACAGACCTAGAGGCGGAATCCAAAGGTTTGTATGTCAGGAGATGGCTAGAAGAAGGCCAGCAAGGGGAGATGAAATCTGTTGGTAATTTTCTGGAAGGACAAAGTTTCAGCAGTAAGAAATTCAATTGTCCTCCATTAAAGGAAGCATCTCTCCTTACCAGCCGAACACAATTGATGGAAGAAGTTTTTCCCATTCATGGAGAGATAATTTCACATAAATATACTGTTGAGACCTTCAGAGCAGGACTGGAAGTCTTTGCTGAGCTTTGCCTGCTTAACTTGTTTGCCATGTCATTACATTTAGACCAAGGACCTGGGAAGAAACCACTGACTGAATTAGCATTAGCCAGATTGTATGGAGTGAAGTGAAGTGGAGGTGGGCAGGGGGGAGGGGGACCCATGGTGCATTGTGGGTAGGTGTTCTTGCCTTCAGAAAAGACAAGCTGACACTAGAGAGACCAGCTGCTTACAAAGCTGGTGTTAATTGCTTTTCTCATCAAACAGAGAAAAGTTTATCACGCTAGAAAGGTAGGGATATTTGGGTACCTAATAAAAACAAGATCTAAGTTTGAGAACTTTTATTTCATGAATGCCCATGAGCATCAGTAGCTCTTCCTTGGACCAGAAAAGAAAAAAGCCTTCTTTACCCGGATGACTAGAGAGAATTATGGAAGCAATTGCACCTGAATTGTTGTCTGAGATTTATCTTGTCATTGAGGGCTAGGTCCATAGTGCCCTGATACCTTAGGACATTTACAGCCCCCTGACACCTTTGCCCATGATCAACAGATGAGTTTGGCATCAAATGCATCTGACCCAGGAAGGTAAGGCCCAGAGTCACCTTCCTGTGTGGCTCTGGGAAAATAATGCAACCTCTCCATTTCCACCTCTCTAAAATGGAAAGGTTCCATGAACTCTGATTCTCCAACTGACTCCTACTGGAGCAAAGACCCCACTGTGAAGGAGAGAGGATCAGCACCTCATATGCATCTAGGGAAGTTCTTCGTTAGGTTTGTTTTCCACATTGGAATCTTTATAAAAATGTCACCTGTGAGAAGATTTTGTTTGTGAAATATCTTAAAAACATCATTCTAGATTATTTCCAATTGTCCTGTTTATTCTCAAACCCCCATTGCTCTGACTGCAGCTGAGTAGTTGGTAAGCAGTCCTCTGAGTTGGGAATGGTGTTAAAAGAGGTGGAAGTTTCCAGAACCCACCCCAGCGGGATGCTAGCATCTGCTTTTCTCCTGTACCTAATGTCAGAAGAAAAGAAGTATCCTCAGTCTGCTTGCTTGCTTATATATTCACTTCTAAAGAGACAGTGGCAATCACTGCTGTTGCAGTGATTGTTGTAGGGAGCTTATTCTGTACTAGGAAAAAAATTAAAAATAAACAAAAACAGAGATCCAAAGAGCTGTCATATACCTGCACAAATTCAGAGAGCTAGGATGTGCAGAGCTGCAATTTGAACCCAGAACCCCTGACCATATCTGCATGGATAACTACATTGTGTTACCCTCTTGGATGAGCTTTATCTCCTTACATCATACAATATCATAGCAAAATAACTTCCTAGTGAAAACACTTTCTAAAATTCTTTCAAGGACACTGTGATGCCTTAAACTGAGGTGATACTTTTGAAAGCTGCAGAGTGTGTTTGAGTGACTAGCTTCTGTCTTTTTTTTTGCCTATCCTGGGGCTTGAACTCAGGGCCTGGGCACTTTTCCTGAGCTTCTTTTGCTCAAGGCTAACAATCTCCCACTTGAGCCACAGCACCACCTCTGGCTTTTTCTGAGTAGTTTATTGGAGATAGGAATCTCACTGGCTTCAAACTACAGTCCTTAGATCTCAGCCTCCTGAGTAGCTAGGATTACAGGAGTGAGCCACCAGTGCCTGGCTCTTTCTTTTTCCTTTATGATACCCGGGGTTTGAACTCAGGACATCACACTTGCTAGGTGGGCGTATGACTGCTGAACCATGACTTCAGCCCTTTTTGTGCATGGTTATTTTTTGAGATAGGGTCTTGCTTCCTGTCCAGACTTCCATCTGGACTCCAGTTGGCCTGTTTTAGCATCTCAGCCTAGATGGGAAGGCATATGTGTGAGAAACTATGCTCAGCTTCTTTCTGTTGATTGAATCCCATGAATTTTTCTGCCTAGGCTGTCCTGGAACCATGATCTCCTTAATCTAAGCCTCCCATGTAACTTAGGATGGCATGCCACACCCAGTTACTAGTTGAGAAAGGGTTCTCATACACTTTTCTGTTCTGTTTGGCCTCAAATCATGATCCTCCAATTCCCAGCCTCTCAAGTAGCTAGAATTACAAGTGTGAGCCACTAATGCCTGATTTCAGCCTTCAGTCTCCTAGGCATTTCTTGCTGGCCAAGGTTTGGACCATGAGAGATACATCATGTTATTCTCTCTTCTCTTTCCACAGACATGCATGTGTCATTCGTGGTCAAGTGATGACGTCAGATGGGACCCCACTGATTGGAGTGAACATCAGTTTCGTCAATAACCCTCTCTTTGGGTATACAATCAGCAGGCAAGATGGCAGGTAAGAGACCTTGTACAGGCCAGAATGAAAGTCCTGTTCTCATGGTTTTCCCATGACAACATAGACAGAGAACAGAGACTTGGACTCTGAGAACCTGAAGTCAAATGCCAGCTCTGTAGCATAATAGATGTATGGCCTTGTGTCTGACTCTGACCTGTATCCTTTTGGCTATAAATGAAGCAGTTTCTTTTCATTTGCTTCTCAGAATAAGACTAGGGTAAGTAACTTATGTACATTATCCTGCCTCTGAGGCTTGTGATAGGAACACTGTCATGGAGACAAGTTCCTGCAGACCAAATAGCTTCAGAAACTGAAGCCTTTCCTATTGGGTGCTTTCCTATATGACTGCTTACCTTAGGGCAGGAGAAGCTACTTGGGAGATAACAGAATTCTAACCTATAAGTTCCTCTGTAACTGTCAGTGAAGTGAACCTGCTGTTACTGCCGTCACTGCTGCCGCCTCCTCCTCCTCCTCCTCCTCCTCCTCCTCTTCCTCCTCCTCCTCCCTCTCCTCTTTTCCTCCTCTCTCCTCTTCTTCCTCCTCCTCCTCTTTCTTCCTCCTCCTCTTACTCTTCCTCCTTCTCCTTCTCCTTCTCCTCTTTTCCTCCTCCTCTTCCTCCTCCTCCTCCTCCCTCTCCTCTTTTCCTCCTCTCTCCTCTTCTTCCTCCTCCTCCTCTTTCTTCCTCCTCCTCTTACTCTTCCTCCTTCTCCTTCTCCTTCTCCTCTTTTCCTCCTCCTCTTCCTCCTCCTCCTCCTCTTCTTTCTCTTCCTCTTCTCCTCCTTCTCCTTCCTCTTCCTCTTCTTATTTTCCTCCTCTTCCTTCTTCTCCTTCTCTTTCCCTTCTTCCTTTTTCAGTGCCTACCCTGTCCCTGAGCTTCTTTTGCTCAAGGATAGCACTCTACCATTTGAGCCACCATTCCACTTCCAACTTTTTCTAAGTAGTTTACTGGTGCAAATAGTCCCACGGACTTTCCTGGCCTGGCTGGCTTTAAATGGTAATCCTCAGCTGAGATTACAGGCATGAGCCATTTTGTCCTGCCAAAATGAAACTTCTTAAATAGCTCCATTTCTCCCGTTGCTACCTGTGTATCCTTGGACTTTGTTACCTGTTCTTCTTCATCTGTTTAAAGGGGCTGGCAGTACCTATTTCACCAATCATTTGTGAAGATAAGATGATACAATGAGTGGAAAAGCATTTAGCACATAGTAGGCATTTAGTAAACCTTAGTTTCTCATCCTACTCAAATTCATTGCTATTTTTCAGGGTCTGGCATGTGTAAGTATACAATCAACATTTGCTATTTATTATCATTACAAATTATTGCATAATGAGGAGGTGATGGTCATGGGAATGGCAGTGATAATGTTTTGGAAAGGGAGGAAGGAGGAGGAAAGTGTAATATTTAGGCTGTCAGTGGTGACAAGTTCTCCATTTTTTTAAAAATAAAAATCAGGTGGAGGCAGTCCATCTGGTTAAGTGTGGGCCCAGAAGGTTGTTTTTTTTTTTCATTCTGTGTTGGAAATTATTCTGTAGCCTGATTGATTTTAGCACCTCTTTAATCCAATATCAGATGAGAACATATCCCGGCCGAGGCGATAATGAAGTAAAGACTCATCTGTTTGTAGACATGTGTGCTTTCTAGATGGGGTTGCCACTATGGGCCTAGGGAGCCTCCCCACCACCATGTAATTAGGTGGGGCAAAGCTGGAAAAGGAAGGCACCAGTGCCATGCTAAGCGAGGTCAGTGTGCACTGCCCGGCACACCTTCCAGCCCAGGAAGCTCAGCAGCATGAAGGAACCTCCTTCACTGTGACTCTACTGCCTTCTTTGTAGAAATGGTAGGTGTGAGCATCCCACCAGACAACAAGTATTCTCACTACACGATTACCTGCTAGAAAACATTTATCAAGGAGGGGTTTTGCTAGGCACCAGTGGCTCACATCTATAATCCTAGCTACTCAGGAGCCTGATATCTGAGAATCATGGTTTAAAACCAGCCTGGGGGCTGGGAAGGTGGCTCAGCCTGAGCACGTAAATCTGAGAGATATGTATCTCCAATTAACCAGCAAAAAGATGGAAGTAGAGGTGTGACTCAAGTGAAAAAGCCAAGTGAAAGCCTGAAGCCTTGAGTTAAAGCTCCAGTACACACACACACACACACACACAGAAACACACACATATGTTTTGTCAACCAGGTGTTGGTGGCTCACTCCTGTAATCCCAGCTACTCAAGAGGCTGCTATCTGAAGACCACAGTTCCAAGCCATCCAGGGAAGGAAAAAGTCCATGAGACTCTCCAACAAACTACTTTGAAAAAGCCGGAAATGGCACTGTAGCTCAAGTGGTAGAGTACTAGCTTCGAGCAAAAGAAGCTCAGGGACAGCACCCAGGCGCTGAGTTCAAGCCCCAGGACAGGCATAATCAAAATAATAATTAAAAAAAATAAATGCCATGAAATTTGCCAGACACTCAACTCAAGGTGGCTTAATCATTAGTCCATAGGCACTGATGATGGGCTTGGCTATGATGGATCCATTATACACACCACAGTCTGGGCTAAGTGGGCTGGCAACTGGGGAACAAGTTCTCTCCCTGGCACCTCCAGGCTTTGATTCTTCCTGATTGTGCTTCTTCACTAATCTTTTTTTGGGGGGGTCCAGTCATGGGGCCTGAACTCTGGGCCTGCCCCTCAGCTCTTCAGCTCAAGGCTAGCACTCTGCCACTTGAGCCACAGTGCCACTTCCCGCTTTTTTCTTTTTTCTTATGTGGTGCTGAGGAATGGAACCCAGGGCCTCAGGCATGCAAGGCAAGCGCTCTACCACTGAGCCACCTCCCCAGCCCCTTCTTCACTTTTCTGCATCAGCCTCCTACATTAGGACATAGGAGCAAGAATGGCTTCTGCTTAGAACTTCTGGTTCAGATATGTTCTTAACAAATTACTTTCAGCTTACATACTGCTTAATGTGTGGGAAAGGTATTAGTTGTTTCCATAGCATCTGAAACTCTATTCCTAATAGGTGAACATGGAGCATCTTGGCCAATTCCCCTTTACTCTTCCTTGACCCACCTTCTCTCTTGCCTCCGATAACTTAGGCGCAACCATAAGGGTAGGGGTGAAAGTATATACACACAATGAAATCCCAGGAGCTGGGCCCGACTTGCCTGTGAAAATCTCACTTTTCAGGCAGGCACCACAACACCCTCTCCAGCTTCCTTGGCTACTTCCCCAGTACACACCCATACAACACACACACACAAGATTTACAAGTCATCACAGGATCTCAGAACAGACAGATGATAGCCAAAGAGATCATTTAAAAGATGGAAAGCGGGCTGGGAAGGTGGCTCAGTGGAAGAGTGCTTGCCTTGCATACATGAGGCCCTGGGTTCGATTCCTCAGTACCACATAAGCAAAAAAAGAAAAAAAGCCGGAAGTAGCACTGTGGCTCAAGTGGTAGAGCACTAGCTTTGAGCTGAAGAGCTGAGAGACAGCACCCAGGCCCAGAGTTCAAGGCCCCACAACCGGACCCCCCCCCAAAAAAAAGATGGAAAGTAGATGTCATGAAGAAAGAATAAAAGCAGACAAGAAAAACAGTTCAGGCTCATTGAATTGAAAAATGGAATTGTACAAAGCATGATGCCCTGGGAATGTGTAGGGCCTTGTGCTTTTCCCATCCATCACACATTTATCTAATTAGTAACCCAGCCAAGTGATTACAATCATCAGCTAGATTTTACAGACCAGGAAATTGAGTCTTGGAAAGGTATTGTCACTCACCTGTGCAATAAGAGGCCATGCTTAGACTGGCTCTGAGTTGAATGGGCTTCACCTGAGAGCCAGGCCTTCTTTCTGGGGTCAAGTTCACATTCATATCTAAAACAAGGTATCCTCACCAGCCCACTGCACTCAGTGCTTGGCAAGGCTGGCTGCCCAAGCCTGCTCACACCTCAAGAACATGTCTTTTCTTGTTTGTCTTTCCTTCTTCTCCACACTCAGCCTCTCGTGAAGAGAGCTTGTGAGTCTGGCCAGACTTCCGTTTGCTAGTTTAAAATGTTCTGTCAAAGCACAGATGCTATTTAGCTCTGTGACAGAAAAGTCATTCTCTAGGTGTTTCCCCAAAGCCACGGGTAGTGTCCTGGAGGGTCACAAGCTAAACTCTAGGTTCCAAATAAATTCTCACCCTGTTACTTCTGGTGATCATTACTTATAGCAGGATGAAGGTGGTTGACTTCATACCATGATTGGCACAGAAAAGGGCTGGATGAGCAGCAGCCAAAGTGGATGAAAGGCTGACAGGAATCAGCCTGCGGAGCTTGGGGATATCAAACTGAGGGAGAGGATGTGACACTAAGACAAGGTAGTTGAATGTAAAATCCTGACAGCTGGTAGGAGTACCAGAGAGAGCAAGCTGGAGCAGTGCATTTGAGGGCGTAATCTGTATTGGAGTCTCCCAAAGCAGCTGCACAGGGTTAACTTCAGAGGACAGCCTGCTCAGATGACATTCACAATGTGCATTCATTCTATCAATGTTAACCATGAAGCACTGGTTCCTGGAAACCCAGAGGACTAAATGTCCCTGGGCCAGAGAGCTAAATGAGTAATCACAGGACAATGTGATGTCAGGTTTAAGATGAGCCCACTGTACTTGGGAGCCTCAGGGACAGAACTGGGTTCTGATTGGTTGAGGCTGTGTGGAGATGGTGACATCTGAACTGTTCACAAGTGCAAGATGAGGACAGGCCTTGAAAACTCACTTTAAAAGGCATGGCTACAGGGACTTTGTCCAAAGAGACCCTGCAGGCACAGGTGGCAGGTGGACAGACCCATTGTGGCCAAGTCAGCGGGGCAGGTAGAACTAGGCTGGTACAGCAGGAGCTAGAAAGAACAGTACCTAGAAAACTCAAAACCTAAAAAAGTTCCGATAGTCATAACTAGCCAAGGATGGGCCCATCCTCCTATGACCTGGTCACTAGAAGTAATTACTAAAGAGCTCTTTCTGTGAACAAGACTATCACATCAAACTGGGACAGGGGTCTGGGTCTGCTCCAATGGTTCAGCTATTACATGACTTTAAACTTGGTGTTTTGGGTAGAGAACAGAACAAAATTCTAGACTAAGGTTTCATACACTGAACACAGGAACCTTACATAGCAGCCAAGCACTCTCCTTAGCTAAGCAGGTTCAGAGAGCAGGAATAGTGACATATCTTGCTTTACACTGGGCATCCTTGCCCTTTGTCCACAGCCTGGGTTTAGCTGGCTTCTGATCCCTGTGGCTACAGAACCCAGAGATCTGCCCACACCCTACCATGGAGCTGGGCTCTGCAGAAATGTTGAAGTGTACAAATAAGGATTCCATTTCTTTGAATTTTAAACAAATGGTCCATGCCAGTTTGGAAGGGCAAGTGCCTTGCTAGGTTTGTTCATGGGGAGTTAAGGTATCAGAAACCAGCAGCTGCCAGCATGCTTCTTGCTGAGTCTTGGTACAGTGTAGTTTGGGGTGAGACAGGAAACATTCTGCCTATATGATCTCCGAAAAGCCTGAAGCTAGAAAGGACTAGCAGGGGTTTGTCTAAGGTGAGAAAGGGCCTGGGGACATCATAGCACAGGCATATTTGGTATAGTGTTGAAAATAAGACAGTTGCTCAGACCTATATAGTCCTCAGAGGGCCATGACTAAGGCTGGTCTACCTGTTCTCTACATACCGTCATAGAGATCTCATCTCAACTGAGTGGCTGGTACTCAGCCTTCTCTTTCCCCCTTATACTTTTAAAAGACTGGGATACGAACTGTGCTATCTCTAAACTGCTAAGCAACTTTTAATTGTGAAGGCCTTTGGTCAGTAATCTGTCATAAACCTAGCCAAATCCTGGAGAAGCATAGAATCTTAGTCTCTTAAGAATAATCCACATGAGGGGCTGGGAAGGTGGCTCAGTGGTAGAGTGCTTGCCTCGCATGCCTGAGGCCCTGGGTTCAATTCCTCAGCACCCCATATACAGAAAAGGCCAGAAGTGGTACTGTGGCTCAAGTGGTAGAGTGCTAGCCTTGAGCTGAAGAGCTGAGGGATAGCACCCAGGCCTAGAGTTCAAGCCCCACGACTAACACAAATTAAAAAAAGATTTAAAAAAATCCACATGAACCTTTGCATTTTATGTGTATATGTGTGTGTGTGTGTGTGTGTGTGTGTGCGTGTGCGTGCGTGCACACGCACATGCAAGCATGCATGCACATGTGTACTGGCCCTGTACTCAGGGCCTGGGCACTGTCCCCAAGCTCTTGTGCTCAAGGCTAGTGCTCTATCACTTGAGCCACAGTGCCACTTCTGGCTTTTTGGTGGTTAATTGGAAATAAAGAGCCTCATGGACCTCCTGCCTAAGTTGGCTTTAAACTGTGATCTTCTGATCTCAGCCTTTTAATTAGCTAGGATTACAGGTGTGATCTACCGGTGTGCCCTGCTGAATCTTTTATGCATTTTACAGATCAGAAAACTGAAGAGCAGGATGGCTAAGCGACTTACTGGAGACCATACTGTATAGTTCATGACAAATCCAGGACTAGGCCTAAGGATTCTTAACCCCCAGCGTAGAAGTTGTTCACTAGGGTTCAGCTCTAACCTAGTTCAAAGGTACCAAGAAACACCACAGCAGAGGCTGTCCTAGGTCCTGAAAGATGGCTCTCTACTTCATTGGTTAATTTGACTTCTGTGACTTCCCCATGGTGAATCATGTTGCTACAACAACAATAAATACTTTCTGGAGTTACCCTTTGCAGCTGTAGTCAAGTCTCAGAGTCTTCCACGAGTTACTTAGACCCTTTGTTTATTTACCAAACTGCTGCCCCTACCATGCATGGTGGAGAGGCATGGCTGAAAAAGGAAAGGGTGGGGGGACCCATCTCTGGGCTAGGACTTATCTAGGCCAGGGACAGGAAGAGGTGTGGCTAGGTGGGGGAAAGGTATGGCCACACTGGATCTGGCTGTGACTTCAGGGTCTGGGACCCTCCTAAGGTCAGCTGGAAGGCATGTGACCAAAGATGGTAACTTCCTTTCTGTATGTTCGTGTTTTCCTCCTGATCCTGCTTCTCCTGATCCCTTTTCTTTCCCTCCCGCTAGCTTTGACCTGGTCACCAATGGTGGCATCTCCATCATCCTGAGGTTCGAGCGGACACCTTTCATCACGCAGGAACACACCCTCTGGCTACCCTGGGATCGCTTCTTTGTCATGGAAACCATCATCATGCGACATGAGGAGAATGAAATTCCCAGCTGTGACCTGAGCAACTTCGCCCGCCCCAACCCTGTTCTGTCTCCATCCCCACTGACGTCCTTTGCTAGCTCCTGTGCTGAGAAAGGCCCTATTGTGCCAGAAATCCAGGTACCCAGACTTCCAAACTACATCTCTCCATGCTTTTATTCTATTGGGAGAGGTGGAGAAGGATCTCAGACACAGAGGGGTGCTTTTAGACAGAAAGCACCCCTACTGTTTGGGGCCAGCAGACAAGAGGGTCACCTAGTTTATCCTCTGAAATGACATGAGTATCTGACCTGCCTGCCACACCAGGGCTTTTAATCATCACACTTTCTTTCCACTCTACCGTCCAATTCACTTCCACTTTCCTTTTCCCCAGCTTCCAGGGTGTCTCTTCTCTCAGTATTTCTGTTTAAAGTATTGATAAATAAGTACTACCAAAGAGGAGTAAGCCGCAAGATCTCAAGTAGTGAGTATCATAATAAAGATGAAATAAGGAAAATGTGTTTGACGTACTTAGCACAATGTCTGGTACCTAGTAAGCGCTCAATAAATTTTTATTTATCATTATTATTAAGATTATTTAACATACACTTTCCTCATGCCAGTTAAGGATTGCTTTGGCTCAAATCTATCCCCACACGTGTTTTTGCTTAATTATCATTAAAAGGAAATCACTGGGAAAGATGAATTTTAACATGATGGAAATCAAGATCAAGTCTTTGCCTAGCAAAGCTTTGCTCACTTGAATGTCCTTCATTGTGCCCAGTGTGGGATCTATCAGCAAAAAGGAAAGCCTGGGGAAGGGAACAGATAGCAGCTTGAAAGTCTAGAAGCCCCAGCAACCCTGCCTGCCTAATGAGAACTCAAGCAACATGCATGTTAATGGGTCGCCTTGTACTCAGTGGAGCAGAGAGTTTATACATTTATGTCTGTGGATTTCATGCCTGGCTGAGCAAACACATCGCTGCATATGCCCCATTGAGTGGCTTCTAAAACCAGCTCACAAGAAGGAAGTACAACCGTTTCGAAATTCTCTTTGCACGTCCAGGTTGAAAGATCACTCCTTCTCAGAGATTCGGTGCCTGTCTCCCATCTCAGTGGCCTGGCTGACCTTTCTGATGAAATGCTTGTCAGTGGAGACAGAACTTGCTAGAGAGAAGCAATTTGTAACTGAACTTTGGCTCCACACTACCCAGCCATTTTTCCCAAGAGCAGAGGCTTTGGAACAAATGAGGTTTCAAAGTCATACCCTCTTTAGAGTGCTCCCTGAGCTAGGTGCCTACAGGTCCAGTTAGGGGCACAAACCTTGCTTATTGTCAGACTCATGAAGACAAACTCTTGGGCTTTCCCAGTGCTGTTGTTGGTTAGCCTTTGCAAGTGCTACGAGATGTAAATTGTGAAGGGTACATACACTAAAGCAGGGAAAGATTTATGAGAGCAGCAAGCCAGCACTTGAGTCCTGTCTGCTTCTCACCCAGGGTACAGAGCCTGCTTTGTGAGGAACTAGTAAATGGTGATTTAAGTCAATGCTTTGATTTAGGCCCAATGTCTAGAATTTCCTGTGTTTAGGAGACCTGTGAGGCCTTGGGGCTGGCTAGTTCATACCCTTCTATGGATCAGAAAGAAGGAAAAAGACCCAATATCTCTGTAAATACAGTAACATGATCATTGTCTCTTAAATGGACACAGCCTTGATTGATTTATTGTTTCTTTCTTGAGAGAGCCCCGTACATCAAGCCACACTAATCAAGCTACATTGCTTGATCATCTGGCAATCATTGATTCTTTCTACTGTGGGCCTGAGCCCATTGTGCCCTGCAGATAAAGCACTGTCTTCCCCGCTACTCGGTGCTTGGGTGAGGATCCAGCTTGCCCTAGAACCCCATGCTGGGGATTAGTATGGGCCCTTGTCATCCGGTGGGGCTTCCGACTCTGCCTCATGAGTGTTTTGGTTACTTTCTTGGGAAGGAATGCCATGGGAAATGGATCTGACTTTAGGAAAGCTTTAGGCAGCTGTTTATATCTGTCTACATTAGACTGAAAAAAGCTGAACACCGGTGGCTCACGCCTATAATCCTACCTACAGAGGAGGCTGCGAGGTGAGGACTGCAGTTTGAAGACACATTAGGCAGGAGACTCTTATCTCTAATTAACTACCAAAAAGTCAGAAATGGAGCTGTGGCTCAAGTGACAAGAGAGCCAGCCTTGACTAAAAAAGCTAAGAAACCACACCCAGACCCTGAGTTCAAGCCCCAGTACTGGGCACACCAAAAAAGAGAGGGTGGGGGGAGGGAAAGAGAGGAAAAAAGAAAAAAGAAAAGTCCCTCTTCTTAGTAACCCCTGCTTCCAGAAGTGCCTCTGTCCTTCCAAATAATATTGAAATACTGAGCACTTTACATATATGACCATACTGGAACTGAAGGGTCTACAATGTTTAAGGATGATGCAGCATGTTGCTTAGTATTATACATACATCATGGTACATGCAACAGTTAGTGTGCTCAGTATCATGCATGTTATACAGAGGACCTACCAGAGGCTCGTCCTCAGCAATGAGGTCTTGGGGCCTTCTTTTCCACTTCCTTCAGCCCCTTTTCTCCTTTGTCATCCTTTTTCTTTTCCTTCCTCCTGCTGCTCCTCCTCCCTTCTGCTTCCCCTTCCTTCTCCCTCTTCTCACCTCCTGTCCTTCCGCTTCCTCTTCTGCCTCTTACACACCCAGAATCCACCCAGCTGTGGCCCCCTTCCCTTCCCTGGGTGAGTCAGTGATGGTTGCTTGCTGTGCTCTGTCTTGCTGTAGGCCCTGCAGGAGGAAATTATCATCTCTGGCTGCAAGATGAGGCTGAGCTACCTGAGCAGCCGCACTGCTGGCTACAAGTCTGTCTTGAGGATCAGCCTGACACACCCCACCATTCCCTTCAACCTCATGAAGGTCCACCTCATGGTGGCGGTGGAGGGCCGTCTCTTCAGGAAGTGGTTCGCTGCAGCCCCAGACCTGTCCTTTCACTTCATCTGGGACAAGACAGATGTCTACAACCAGAAGGTGTATGGGCTCTCTGAAGCCTTCGGTGAGCCCTCACCCAGCCCTGCCCCCTCCCATGCAGGGTGTCCTCAGAGGGAGAATAACACACGGGAATGGGGGAGAGGAGGATCTCTTCCACTTGCACGGCTACCGCTCCCTCCTTCCTCTTCTCAGGCCAAAAATATGTAGGACTTGAATACCTTTAAGACCTCACAGTGGCCATCCATGACCAAGAAGAATATTCTAGAAGAGCCAAATATAGAAAACACAACCATTAAAATTGATACAAAATCAAAATAGTCCACAAAAGGCACTGATAGGATGTGATGGGTCAAAAGATACAGACTGCTGAGCACCGGTGGCTCACGCCTGTCATCCTAGCTACTCATGAGGCTGAGATCTGAGGATCATGGTTCAAAGTCAACCTGGCCAGGAAAGCCCATGAGACTCTTATCTCCAATAAACTACTGAAAACCTGGAAGTGGAGCTGTGGCTCAAGTGGTAAAGTGCTAGCCTTGAGCAAAAATGCCTAGGACAGTTGCCAGACCCTGAGTTCAAGCCTGAGGATCCCCCCCAACACTCCACCTCTGCACACTCGCAAACAACATACCATGTGCCACAAAAGTGGACTGCATGGACACTGCCTGGACATTCCACCTAAACCTAACCTACTCACTGAAATAGGGGAGCAGGAAAACTGGGCTACTACTCTGGTTTTGAGGCAAAAGACCAAGATGCCCCATCTTAACTGCATGTCTGAAAGCAGGTATGGTGGCTTAACCCTGTAATTCTAACTTGAGGAAGTAGAAATCAGGCAATCACAATCTGAGGCCAGTGCAGACAGAAGAGTCATTCTCAAGACTCCATCTAAACCAGTGGATGAGTACAGTAGTATTGGGAAGTAGAGTGACAAAGGCCTTCATCCTCAGTAATATAGGGAAACGTAAGTTAGAAGATCAAAGCCAAGTAGGAATATCAAAGCCCAGGCCAGCTTGGGCATAAACCAAGATCCTATTTAAAAAGTAACATGTAGAAAGGGTTGGAGGCATGGCTCAAGGGTAAAGTGCCTGCCTAGCAAGTATATGTGAGGCCCTGAATCCAATCTGTAGTACTGACAAAATCAAAACATGTTTTGGAGCCAGGTGTAGTGGCACACACCTGTAGGTCCAGCTATGCAGGAGGCAAAACAGAAGGATTACAAATTTGAGGCCAATCCAGGTAAAATTAGCAAGACTGTATTCCAAAAGAAAAATAAATTAAAAAGGGAGGAACTGGGAACATAGTTCCAACCCCAGTAGGAGAACAATAAAAAACTTTTAATGTTATTTTGTCATCTTATTTCCAGTCAGAAACAATGTCTGTAGTTATCACTCTGTTTTTTTAGAGATGAAGCAGAGGTTGCCTCCCTGGGATCTTGGGCTTCCAGGGCTGACTGTACCCCTTGCAGCTTCTGGATCAGAGCCTTCTTGGTCTCAGGAAGGCTTACAAGATGACACTAGATAGTCAGCAGTCCTAATGCCCCACAGCAAGTATCCACTAAGCACTGTAACTCAGCAAATCCCTTCATGCCTTGGTCCCTTCTCTAGCTTCAGTCCTTTTCTCTAGTAAAGGCAGAATAAGGGAGAAGAAAAGTCCTGTTCTGTTTAAAAAGAAAGAGTAAGAGAGAGAGAAAAGAGAAGGCTGACACTTAGGGCAATTAGAGATTGCCCTTGAAGTGTCTGTTCCAGAAAATGTACTCCCACTACATGAGAATCTCACTGAATTCCTACAGCCAGGCTGTGAGTCAAAAGTTGGTTATCTCCAAACTCAGTGTGAGAAGGTGAGGCCCAGAGAAGTCAGATGACTTCCCAAGAAGGCACAGCTAGGAAAGAACAGAGCTGAATTTATCCCAGATCTCCATTATAGTTTCTGTCTCTATTCTATCCCACACTCACTCTCCTGAGATCGCAAGTGACCAGAAGGTGTAGTGACTGCTAGTAGGCCTCAGGGTTGCAGGAAAGAGGGCACAGAGACACCTTCCAGTCCATTCCCTTATGGCCAACTTTTATGGCATCTAGAAGAAAACTTGAATTGGTTCCCAGTTAATGCCTGTCTCAAACATGCAGAATATTGCTTCCCAGAAAATAACACCTATTCAGAAAGGTACTTGGTAGAAATACCATCCTGTCTCTACTGGTTCCTTCTCCAACATCAGCCACAAGGCTGTTACAGACCTAGGCTCACGAAGCTTTCCATTTGGCTCCTCTCCCTGGCCATTCTTCTAAGAGGCCTGGATTAGTGAAACCAGGACATTTTCAAGCTTTCAAATCTCAAACCAGCTTCAAGGTTCAGAAGCAACTTCTGATTTCCAGTTACCCTAGCTAAGCTCCTTTTCCATGTATTCATTATAAATATGAGTGTAGTTTTTCTTTATGAAAAAATAATACCATGCTCATGCATTTTAAAAACTGAGAAATGGATGTAAGTAAAAAGAAGTCATATTTAATCCTAGAAACAAAGACAACAACATTTTAATGTGCTTTCTCATTTGATATGTAGTTCTTGTAGTTACTTTTTTTTTTAAGCACAGCTACTCTGACAGTAACCAGTCTTTTTAGTTAGCATCAGTTTCCAAAGGCATTTTCCATGTCATGTGTGGTCATCAGAACCATCATTTTCCATCATTTTCAGTGGAAATATTTCTGGATTAGGCATAGATAGGTTGGCTCCGCCTCTCATTTGTTTTGAACCTTTAAGTTCTTCCCATTTTCCACTATTATCATTAATACCATAGTGAAGGCTTTTATGTATAAAGTATTTTTCACATTAAAGGTTATTTCCCTTGAACTAATTCAGCTAGATCCTTGGAAAGTATAATGTGTTTGTTTAATTTTTCCCAATTACGTACTGTTTTTAAGAAAACAAAAAAGAAGACGCTTTAAGGTTCAGCATACCGTGTTGCCATTTCAATGGTTTAATTCACAAGTACAGATCCTCCCTTTCTCCTGTTCCATGAAAGAAAAGCAGAGGGACTCACCTGCAGGTCCAAGGACCAAAGTGGAGCTTTGCTTACCTATGCACTTTGCTTCTTACATTCCTTCAGTTTCTGTGGGTTATGAATATGAATCCTGCCCTGATCTGATCCTGTGGGAGAAAAGGACTGCTGTGCTACAGGGCTATGAAATTGATGCATCCAAGCTTGGAGGATGGACCCTTGACAAGCATCATGCCCTCAACATCCAGAGTGGTAAGTGGAAATTTTCACGTGGGAAGATAGAATCCCTGAGTCAGGCTAGGGCCACTTTGTCTTCTATCCAAACAAAAAAATAACCATTTTGAATTTTATAGGTTCCTAGGCAACCAATTAGTCAGAAGGCCGAGTCATAAAACTTTGGTTGGGACCCTCCTCTGAGCCTGTCACTGAGAGTACAGTAGTGAGAGGCCTCAAGACTTCAATGCAAACAGAGACCAAGACTTGCCAGGCAATGGCTTTGCTGTGCCCTGGGCCATACCATCCTGATAGGAGATAGGTGATTCCAGCAAGGCAAGAAGTCCTGAATTCATTGTTTTGCTTCATCAAAGCATCCCTGGAGAGACCTTCTGGCTGGCATTTCAGAGAGTCTACAGGATGAGCTCTGTAAATCAAGTAGGGTAAACATGGTAGCAGAGAGCACAGTATATGTCAATGTGCTAAAATCTAGAAGAAGACTGTCTATAAAGAAGGTCTGTTGCAATTTGGACAGAGGGTGAGGCTAGTGAAGCCAATGCCACAGCCAAAGCTGGTGATTTGGGAGATCTGGAGCCCAAGGCAAGAAGATTATGACTTCAGAGTGCATCCAGGGATGAATGTCAAACCTCTGAGCAGTTAAAGCCCGCGAGGGCCATGATCACACCTGTTCTTTAGGTAACTCAGACTAAGCATGTTCCATCTTGGGAAACAAGGGAATAATGTCACATACCTCCTGCCTAGTCTGTACGTATGATGAATGCCTGTCAAAACCACCTCAGGTCTGGTGGAAGTTGACAAATTACTTCTATCATTTATAGTAAAATAAAGATTTGTAAATGGTGAAGGTAATTCTTAAAATAAGAGATGGAAAAGGCACTCACCACCACATACCAAGTTAATTTAGAAAACTGTAAGGTCTGAAATTGTGTAGTGCAGACACAGAGACAGGTAAACAGAGTCCATGGAGTTCAGGAACTGACCCGTGAGTCATAATTTAAATGAGGTTTGGCCGTGAGTTCAGAAAAACCACAGTAATAGAGTTGAAGACAAGCTAAAGTTGGTTTCTCACTCACCTGCCAATCTGGAGGGCAGGTGATCTCTGGCTGCAGGGTCAGAAACCCAGGTTCTTTTCCTTGTTCTACTCAAGCCTTTATTCCAAGGTCATGGTCCTAGGTGAAGCCACTTAAGCTCCAGTCCTTCACATCCACTTTCTAGCCAGGAAGAAAGCAAAGAACCAGGAGCAAGCTCCCCCATCATAAGGGGTCTCTCAGCAGCTGCCCATACCACTGCCCCTTCTGAGCCATTAGCCAGAACAATATCCTGGGTAGAACTGTCATGGGACTAAGATGTCACAAACTGTCCTAAGTGGTCACATGCCAAGCTAGATGTCAGAAATTTTGTAGCTACCGTGACAAAAGAAAGGGTCGAGGAAAATGATAGCCACCTATACTGGAAATGTCTGCCACTTACCATCTGTAAATAAGATGGTCTATGGTATGTCATAACATCATCTAACAGTGGAGAATAGACAAACCCTTTAGAAATTGATACTAGGAAAATTGGCTCAATATCTAGAGAAAAAAATTCACAAAGCTAAAAAAAAACTACATGAAGCTCCCACTTTACAGGGTACACAAAATAAATTTAAATATTTAAACATCAAAATGTGAAAAATAGTAATTTAGAATTAGTGGGAGAAAAATATAAAACAATAACCTAGAAAAAGCACAGACTGTATGGAAACACAATTGATTAGACTGTATAAAAATGTTTAAATCCATTCAATAAAGGACAACAGAGCTAACAGGTGGCAGCCTGAAATGAGATTCTGGTGACCAATAAAAGCCAAACCCCACTTTGGCTTCAGCTAAGAAGGCAGGAAGCAGTAGGCAAGGTCTATGTGGGAGCAGTATGCTAGGAAAAAATTATCTAAAGTGAAAAGAAGCAATGCAGGTATGACAGGAAGCTTACTAATCTGAGTAGTTCAAACTCTTTGTTTTGTTGGTGGGAAAATGAGGTCCAGAGCTGTACAAGACCTGAGACCTATGTCAGATATAAAATCAGCTCATTAATAGCAAAAATCCCAGTCTCTTGACTCCATGTTAGTGAGAAGAGGCTATTTCCCTCATTCATTTTATAAACATTCATTAGTACCTACTCTATGTCAGGTTCTACGCTAGGCACTGGAAATACAGCTAGGAAAAATATATAATCTCTTAGCTCGATGCTGGTGGCACATGTCAGTTCAAAGTCAGCCTGAGCAGGAATGAGAGTCTTATCTCCAATTAACCAACAGAAAGCCAGAAGGAAAGTTATGGCTCAAGTGATTGAGTGCTTAACCTTGAGTGAAAAAGCTAAGGCACAACACCCAGGCCCTGCATTCAAGCTCCAGAACAGGCTTGGGGGAAAAAAAATCCCCTAATCTCTGTATTGAAATGGTATGGTTGGAAAGAAAAATCAGGTAAATTCAAGAAAGAATCAAAGTTGTACATAGATGAGGGCTGGGCACATGAGACATGTACAGCCTCTTTGAGAGGTTGCATAGCTGAATGGTCGAGAGATGGTATTGGTACCTCAGCCTTTTCTTGTCTATCTGGCTTTGGATAGGCTGCCTGGTCTGTTCCCTCTGGCAGAGTAGTGGTAAAAACAGTGCAATACTAGAGCCTATAGTGAGAATAACAGAGGCCCACAGCAATATATAAAGGCCTATAGTATACAGAGCAGCCTGCTCAGTGCCTCTGGATTTCACTGAGACAAGTTTGGAAATCGTTGGCAGAAATTTCTGGCTTGCCTTGCAAATCAAGGTAACCCTGTTGTCTACCACAGAAAAAGTGAACCACTCCCTATCCCCTCCATGGTGATGTTCCTCTCTCCCTGTCCCCAGGCATCCTGCACAAAGGGAATGGGGAGAACCAGTTTGTGTCTCAGCAACCACCGGTCATCGGCAGCATCATGGGCAATGGGCGCCGGAGAAGCATTTCCTGCCCCAGTTGCAATGGCCTTGCTGATGGCAATAAACTCCTGGCCCCCATGGCCCTCACCTGTGGCTCTGATGGCAGCCTCTACGTGGGAGACTTCAACTACATCCGCAGGATCTTTCCATCTGGAAATGTCACCAACATCCTGGAGCTGAGGTACAGGAAGTGGTGGGGTACCTTCTCCACAGTTAACGATGGGGGTCTCCTTGGCATCCTACAGCCTAAGTCACTGGGCCCAAGAGGAATGGGACTGGGAATGGGATGGGCCTCACCTGTCAGACTCCGGGACTTTTCATCTCCCAGCTCAGGAGCTGCCCCTCCCCTCCTGTGCACTGTACTGAAGAGAAGTCACTGTTGGGACAGAGAGATCTTTTTGCTTCCTATCATTGAGCTGATTAGAATGGGCCATGTGAGTCTTTTTCTGGAACAGGGGATGGCATAGTGGATGAGGCCCAGATGGCAGAGTCAGCGTAGGTATCCCTGTAACATAGTACTCATCAGTGAGGGGAAGTTCCTTTCACCTGAGCATTGCTGAGATGAAGACCTGAGACCTGACCCAGGCAGTGCCTCTCTGCTCTGCAGGTGCCACAGAACCAGCTGACTCAGCCCTGCCCCAGTGGTAGAGCACAGCTACATGTGCAGCTGGAGAAGGGCTCAGGGTTTGACATTTTTCTTTAGACCTCCCAGAACCAGATCCCTTTTACAACCCAAACGGCCTCTGGGGTTACAGAGAAGGTGTGCTTTAGAGACTCTTTCTTCCAGGAGAAATGCACTGAGCACCTATTTTAGGGCATGGGCTTATCCTGTGTCTGGGTTAGGACCATGTGAACAGGAAAAGGCTTAAACTGAAAAACTTCCCTCCAAGAGGACAAGTTGGGCTCCTACTGATTGTCATGGAATAGTAATGTGAGTTGTTGGCTATTATCACTTTTGATAAATGAGGAAAAGGAGGCTCCAGAAATTTAGTTGCCCAAGATCCAGGCTCTTAGAATGGTGAACCCAAATCCAGAAAGCATTGCACAGCTCTGCCTTGTCAAAGAGTCGGTACTGACCCAGTAAGAGCCACTTTGTCATAATGCTTTTTAAGGTTATTCTCTACCAAAAGAATGAGGGCAAAGCTAGCTGGCTGCCCAACAGCTGCCATGTCTGCCCCTCCCCAGGACATAGGAGGGATGCTCACATCCTGTGAGCTCCTAGAAAGTCACGTATGGGGCCAAATGAGAAGCAAGCTACCCATGTAGTATCCTCTGCCTTTCTTCTCAGCCTTGACTTGTATCAAAGATAAAGGAAGCCTTGTGCGTATTTCTTTCAGTCCAGGGCACACATATGCTATAATAGAAAGAACCATGAGCCATAGACTTGGCTCACTTTGCCAGAGAAGCTGTACAACTTTGTATAAAATATTTAACCCCTCTGGGCCTCCATTTTTCACAAATTCCAAATAAGACATCCCATGTTCCCTGAGAGCTGTTAGAGGCGGGGAGGTGGGGTGTTGATTATGGAAGACAGCATGTAGAGCAGAGAGGAATACACAATGTTTGCAGGGGGAGGAACTCCATTGATACTGTCATTTTGATATGTTTTTCTCCACTCTTTCTCCCATAGGCCTGTCTCTCTATGTCATACCCTTCCTTCTAATTATAGTCATAGCCACTTCAGTGTCCTACTACAAGTAGGCTCATTTTGATAACTCTCATACTACAGTGCCCATGCAGAGACACAGAGCAGTCTCTGGGTGTCTCTGGGCATATGTCTGGCAGGGGAAAGAACCAACCGTTCCAATCTCTGTCCTACCCTTGTTAAAGCAGTGGAATATGTCAAGCTAGTTCTCTTCCCAAGTGTCAGCAGTATGGAGCAGGTAAAACTGTGCCTCTTCTGTGATATGTAGCTGCTTGTAAGTGAACTCACTGACAAGGAATATCCAGTATAAAATATATCAGTGTCATAGCTCCTAAGTCTTTATTTATTACAGTATTGTACCTTACCATTGCTGTCAAGTTTTCAGGCTGCTAATAATGCTTCTAACCCTGCTGCTAACACCTCATTCTTTCTTCTATTCCCTGCTCTCCTGTCTTCTGTCAGAAATAAAGATTTCAGACATAGGTAAGCCAACCAGTGGAGAATTTCCTGTCTCTCCCCTGCCTTGTTGCATGTTGTTGTATGGTAAGCTGCACGTGTTGATTTCAGGTGGCTCAGTAGCAGAGGAGCCCTGAGTGATTGGAACTGACTGGGGATAATCAGTTCCAATGAGAGGAAGTCATTAATAAAAGTGAAGTATGTGGCAAAAGCCTGGACTCTCTGACTCTAGAAAAGCAAGCCAGTTGCCCTGTAATCTGGTGGACATGACAGATTAAACTAATGGGTTTAAAGAACTTAAACCATGGCACAGGAACTTGAATACCACAGGCACTCAATCCTTATACTAAATGAAGACATCAACCAGGATGTGGTGAGTGACTTTGATGGCCATGATAGTGAGGAATTCAGGTGCCAGTGACCCCATCTGAGGGTATGCCAGAAAGGACAGAGGAGGTCACAGGAACTGCCCTGAAGGTCCCCAGGCTGGGTCATCGAGTAGATTGATCATGTGGGCTCACAGGGACACTAGCCAGCAAGAATGGGTCTAGTCAGTCACACAGTAGGAGTAACACATGGACTGGTGCTAAATTGGGATAAAGTCTTTAGGATGATGAATCAATATCGAATAATTATTGAACCTACTTCTATGTAGGCAGTATGTTGTTTATGTAATAATCACAATTTCATTTAAAAATAATATGAATAAAGCATTCACAAGGTGACAGAAATATGCAATTATGAAAAATATTTTAAAAATTATAAAAAATATTAAAAATGCGAGTTATAGCATTTTATTCCCAAACCCCTCTGTGAAGCAGCTACCCATGATTGCATATACATGGAGTCGTTTCTTGATAGAAGTGGCTCATCTAGCAGAGCTTTTGCTTCTACCATGAGCTTATGATAAGTGTTATAAGGGCCACAAGATGTTTGTAGGTTAAGTTTCAGCATATTCAGGCATAGGAGAGCATTCCAGAGTGGTCATGGTAATAACAATAACAACAATAATAATAATTACAACATTGGGAGTAGATGATGGACATTAGCATATCATTTTAATTTATTACCAGGAGTGTTATATTATGACTACTATGATGGCTCCATCTTTCTCAGTAAGGAAATGAGTCCTTTGACACCCAAAGATACATGTATAAAGGTAAATGGGGCAGAAATTGGGAATAAAAGTTAAAAAGAAGAAACATCTATGACATAGAACATCACATTAAACCTAAGCTTCCCAGCAGTAGCCTAAGTAGAAAAACAGAATTTTTTTCATAGTTACCATTATCAGAAATAAAAAATATTCCCACTTTCTCAGAGCAGAAATATATGTGGTCTCTCTGTAGTGGTGGTAGCTGCCTGTGACACAGCTGTAATACAAGCAGAAGCAGCTGGAGAAAGTCTTGGCCCATGTGGCCTTTAGCTTGCCACCCAACTTTTCTAATTACCAGTTTCTTCATCATCTATAATTTGTGGTTTGGGTATTCTTTAGTCCTGATCTTCAGAGATCTTTTAATGTATCTATAGGTATGATTTCAGGACTGGGTTCTTGCCTTTTCTCAATGTATTGTTTTCTCTGGTGCTAAAAACTATTTCCAACTCAAACTAAAGTGCAGGAGGGAAAAGGAAATCATTCTCTGCCTTTCAGTTTCTAAACACAAGCAGGAGACCAGAAACCTGGGTTCCAACTCTGACTGACTAGCTCCTAGATAGCCAAATCCCTTCCCTGTCTTTGGGACTCAGTGTATTCCCCTTAGTGGGATGGATTAAAGAAGTTCTAGAAGTTTGTCTTTATTCATTAGCTATCTCTGCATCAGTAATAGCATTTATGTTCTACATGGAGCATATGTTTGAGGGATAATCTGAAGCAGCCTCATACCAGCCACCATGTTGGAAGTGTCCATGCCAACACCATAATGCTTTGAGCATCTTCCTCTTTGGATCCTTCAAGGAATACACCCCCTTACCTCTTCCCAGATCTCTTCCCTGGGAATATTGGAAATCTATTCTTAGAAGTATACACGAATTCAAATCTCTCTGAAACCTAGTTACCCATATTGTAGTAACTGAACAGGAGCCTTTAACTGTCCTAGAAAGTAAATTGCACAGGACAGCATTACATCTGACATTCTTAGCTTTTCTGTTATGCACAAACATAAATATTCTGGAGGTTTTCTCAAGTTGACCAGCTTTGCTTAAAAGCAGTCATTCATTGGGCATTTTATCTTTTTAATGGGAGAGGCACTGTGCACAGAGATTTTCCTTCTGCGTGTAACTTTGGTCCTCAAGATAAACATCTGAAGTGGATATGATTCCCCACCAAAAGTGAGTGAGACTCAGGGTAACAAAACAAAATCAAGTGAGTGGTAGAAATGGAATTTGAGCCAGACTCTATGTCATTCTTCCCAATGTCTCTGAGAACCAGTGAATTAACTTCTGCTGGGTCTGCCTCTGAGTTGGACAAAAGATGCTTCTTTGGACAAGCCAGATCTCACTCTGGGACAAAAGTCCCTTATTCTCACTCAAAATTAGTAGGGACTACATAATTTTTTTTGTTCTTGTTTTTTTGACAAATTAATAATTATTTAATTTATTGGTAAAGCACAGAATTCTAAACATGAAAGCTATGAAATAATTTTCAGAGGAAAAGACAAACTTGATTATCTAAACATCTAATCCTCAGGAGAGCCAAAAAATGTTTAAGGAAAATAGCAGATTTATTTTTTATTAAATATATATATTTTGTTGTAAAGATACTGTACAGAGGGGTTACAGTTATATGAGTAAGGCAATGAGTACATTTCCTATCGAGCATTGTTACTCCCCTCCTTTGTTTTTCCCACTACTATCCCTTCCCTCCCTACCTAGCCGGTTCACTTTTTAAAAATCCAAGGAAGTTTGGGGTTTTTTTTTACTTCATATCCTCTTTTATTAAACATTCCTTGGGAGCATAAAAATGCTATATTAAGGAAGTAGTTCTGATTCATATTGAAATATATTTAAGTACCAAATCTGTTCACTATAGTATTTTTAAAAACCAGTACCTGTTCAACTAATTACTTCAGATGAGTAATAAGAATTTTTGGAACTCTCAGCCCACTAGGAACTCCCCCTACCTCTTCCAAAATAAGGGTAGCGTGAGATCTGACTTTTGTTCATTAACATAAGACTGGTGCTCCAGAGATCTCTATGATTTTTGTGTCACTTCCAGAGAGGTTAAGGTTATATTTGTAGAGCTAGAACAGAAAAAGAAAGTGGGTCCCCAAGGACTTTTGCACCAAACACTAGAAATAGGGCCATGATCCAATTCTGTGACCAGCTCCACTCATGATAGAGAAGATGGTGCACACACTGAATATCCAGAGATGGGTGAGTGTTCCCAGGTGGATAAGGGCAGCAGAGCTTTCTAGGCCCTGAGCAGCAGCGAGGTAGAAAGAACACAGACTCAGGAGCCCCGCTGATTTGGGTTGAAACTGTCTTAGGGGATGATGACTATAGTCAAGTCGATTCACCTCTCATCTCATTTTTCTGAAAGAATAAAAAACAGTATTTACTTTACATGAGAGTGGTGAGGAAATGGAGCCATGTGTGACAAGTGTTAGTGCAGAGTGTGGGACAGAATCCGCCCCTATCCGTGGTTGGTGTCTCTGAAGCTTGTTTCAAGAACTGGAGGTGTTGCAACCTCTGGAGTTCCTGGTGGGTGGCTCACATCCAGGTATAGCTCCTGTTCCAGGTGGCACAAGGAAGAAATGAACTGAGAAATGTCCAAAGAGCACCACAAACCAGAAAGGGCTGTGGATAATTCTCTGTGATCCTAACGACATTGCCGATTTGCAAAGGCAAGCAGGGCTTTCCTCCCTGACAGCTGAGGGACCTAAACTACTTAGGTGGCCCGCCTCAATTAGAACACTTATCTTCTAGGTTCAAAGCTAATGTGATTTTCCCTGTGATGAACTGATCACAAATGTGTTCCTGAGCACTCAAAAGAAAAAAAAAATGCAGCCATGATGTTTGTAGACTGTGGAGCAATCCTGCCAAGTCCTGGAATTCACCCACCTGAGAAATTCCATGCAAATGACACTTCTCCAGGGAAGTATAGAGTGATCTGAACTGGAAAGTCAAGGGGCTAATCTAAGTGGACAGGGCCTTCACCATTCTCCCTTGAGGACCACTTCCTGCCAAGGTAGATAGCACCAGCTCATCATGAGTGATGCACAAGGAAATGAAATAGCCACCTTGCCTCCCAGCTGTCGAGGGGAGGCAGAAAGCTGTGGCTGGTTCAGCGTTACAGAGCAAGGTCTGCGGTCACTGGGTTTTATCTAGCCAGAATGGGGGAGAAATAAATTTGTGCTACAATACAGGATAGATCCCAGGGGACATGTCCAATATTGGGGATTGTTACCACTAACCCCTAACTGTGAAGTAAAAGAAAAGTTAAGTCATTTCCATCTAAATACCACCTAAATAAGCTGAAAATGAAGATACCACCTAGTTAAAACAGCGATTCTGGTGGACTGGAAGATAGTAAGCTGAATATTAGAAGCATAAAAATGGCTAGTCTAGTGTCTTCCCTAAGGTTGAGAGAGAAGAGGGGAGGGAAGGGGAGAGAGGGAGGGGGAGTGTGAGGGGGAGGGAGGAGAGACCGTGGGAGGAAAAGGAAAAAAGCCATGGTGTTATAGTAAGTGTTCTGTAATACTAGTGCTCTGATTTCAATGCACAGAAAAGAAAGTCAGGAATGTTTGCCAGAAAAGTTATCATTTGGACCGAAGAATACATATAAAAGAGAAGGGGACAAACAGGAACAGCAGGGGCAGGCAGGCCTGAGGGCACACAGCAAGGTACATGTTGCAGGTGTTGTGGATGTAGGGTATTTATTGATGAGGAGTGAGAAAGGTGGAGCAGTCCGGCATGAAGAGCCTTGAGTACTACTGGGCTGGGGAGTCTGCACTTCCTGTGAAAGACAAGAGTCCTAGAAGGAACCATGGAAATTACAAATTGGTATTTGGATTTGATCAGGAAGACTAAAGAAGACCTAGGCTACAGGCAGAGCTTTGCCCTTGACTTCAGAAGGAAGCATTGGGACCGCAGTAAGGCCACTGGAGAAATGCAGAACTTGTTACTTGTACTCATGGAGAGAAAATGAAGGAAAAGTCTTAGGGTTTGGATGTCTGGCTCTTTCATATATGGCCACATCCTGAGGATACTGTGTAAGGGGACATTTATAATGACAAGAATCATTGGGCCAGATGAAGTTTCTCAGGGACGAAGATCCCCTAAAAGCATATGGTGTCCCGGTCTTCAGAAAACATCAGTCTGTAAAATAAAATTCTGTTCATCAACTGGCCCTAAAACCTATATATCTGGTAAATGTGAAATATTGAAATGCAATTTGAGGAGCCAGCGAATTATCAGGCCACCCACTGAGACTGTAAATTAGCTTCTCAGAAGTGTTGATTCCAACTCCACTTTGCTCTGAACTTGGAATATTGTACATCAGTATCATGGGATACTGGTACCCATTGTGTAGCTTCTTCAACACGCAAAAACAGATACAATGACTAACAGTTAGAATAGTAATTATGATGACTAAACACCTCCTATGTGTCATGCACTGTGTTTAATACTGGGCATTTATGATTTATTTTCTCCATGGACACATAGAGTCGCTGTTAACATTCCCATTTTGTAGATGAGGACAACTTGTTGCTCGGGGGGTCCAAGTAACATACCCAAATTTCAGAACCAAGACTGTTAGAGCTCAACTTGAAATTCAGACTGCTCTGATCTCCCACATTTTCCCCACCTCATGACCAGAGGTGGTGTTCTGTCTCCTTAATACCTCCGCACAGTCTCACGTCTCCTTCCTTTGTCACCTGCAGTCAGTCTTTGTGGACTGTTTTCTCGAAATGACCTCTATCAGCCCTGTTCCAACAATCTGTTTTTCCTTAGGCTTTGTTGATCATTGCTGTAAGGTGTCCCAACTCATTTATATCTGATTACAAAAAGGCAAGTTCTGGGCTTCTGATGAATTCAACATGAGTACAAAATGGAGAAATACTAAGTGTCTTATCATTGGTCCCCGGATGAGGGTGGGAGTGCTATAAAAATCCTCTGGAGAAGGACTTGTGTCTTGATGTTTTTAAAGTCAAGTACTTCTATGTTTTTAGCTTGAGTTAATAGGTCAATATGACAACTCTCCTGGGTAAATTTTTTTTCTTAAAATCTGTATTGCTAGGCACTGGTGGCTCATGCTTGTAATCCCGGCTACTCAGGAAGCTGAGACCTAAGTATCCTGTTTTGAAGTCAACCTGGGCGGAAAATTCTTATATCCAATTAACCAGCGAAAATAAGTCAGAAAAGAAGTTGTGACTCAAATGGAAAAGCACCAACCTTGAGCATAAAAATGCTAAGTGAGAGTATAAGGCCCTGAGTTCAAGTCTCAGTACCAGTACAAAAATAACTAAAAGAAAATGTGTATTTAGCTAATATTTAGCCACCTAAATCAGGCAGTTATTGTTGAGGAAGATTTTGTATTAGTACTTGGGTAGAATAGATAGTTCTGCCAACTCCTCTGCTCACAAAAAGTTGTGTGGGGGGCATCACCCCAAATAGATATCATTCCAGAAGAGATTTGTGTTTTAATTTCAAAGGGCCAGGGACCAAGTTGTGCATCTGTAACTACCAAGTAGAAGAGAAGAAAAATTCTCACCACTTGCCATGTCTCTGTTTTCCAGTCATAGTCCAGCCCATAAATACTACCTGACCACAGACCCCATGAGCGGGGCTGTCTTCCTTTCTGACACCAACAGTCGGCGTGTCTTTAGGATCAAGTCAACCATGGTGGTGAAGGACGTGGTCAAGAACTCAGAGGTGGTGGCAGGGACTGGTGACCAGTGCCTCCCCTTTGATGACACTCGCTGCGGAGATGGTGGGAAGGCCACAGAAGCCACGCTTACCAATCCCAGGGGTAAGGCCTTGCTAGTAAACACTGTGAATAGCATTTATTGGGATTTTTATTATTACTTACCAAAGACCCAGACATTTATCATGGCAAAAATTTTGGAAAATGCTAAAAAATATGGGAGGGAAAGGTAGAATTGAAAGAAATATTCAGAAATATGACAGAAATAATTCAGTTAACAAGGTCTGTCTTTCCTTCTAGTCTGCTTTCAAAATGTTAGTTAGTAATGTCTTAAACAAGCAAAGCCAGGTACTGGTTGCTCATATCTATAAACCTAGATACTCCAAGAGGCTCAGTTCTGAAGATCATGGTTCAAAGCCACCCCAGACAGACAACTCCAAAAGACGTTTATCTCCAATAAATGAGCAAAGAAACCACACATGGAGGGGTTGCTCAAGTGGTATACTGTCAGCTTGAACAAAATAGCCAAGCAAGAACACAAGACTCTGAGTTCAAACCTCAGTACTGGCTAAAAAAAAACTTTAAATGATATCACATTTAAATTAAAAAAAAAACATTTTAGTAACATAAATCACAAATTCTTCTCCATGTCATTAAATACTCTTCTGTGAACTCATTTTTGTTCAATGAATTCATTTTTAATGTCTTTGTAATATTCTATCAAGTGAATGGCTTATCATTTATTTTTCAATCCCCTATTATTGAGCAAACTGTTTCTCATATCATTGCTGTACAGAAAATTTGTGGGAAATCATCCTTATGTTCATGTCCTATAGGATGGATTGGCCATAGGTTTTAATTTTTGAGTCCTTCCAAAAGTTGAACCTGTAAATCCCCATATTCAAGATTTTTCCATTCAATTATTCATCAAGCATTTACTGAGTGCACCGAGCCCCATGGTTGCACAGATGAGTTCATTGTAGCAGAATAAGTAAGACTTGGATGGGAGCCACTCATAGGGAGGAGAAGAGACGTGCTCTCTGACATGTAAGAAGAAAGAGCTGGGCCTGGGGCTTGTGAGCGTTGGAGACTTGAAAGGCTTGTTAGAGGATAAGCCATCATTATCAACAGACATCCTTCAGTAGAGTGCTTACTGTGCTTTGAGTCTTAGAGCCAGTGATTTGAAGTATCTAAGCCTCAGGGCCCCAGTCAGTAGAATGAGAATAACAATGCTGTCTACGCATGCTTCCTGGGGTTGTTCTAAGCATCAAAATTAAAGTATTTCTTAATGTTATCTTGTAAAAAAATGCCATAACTGGTGATATTACAAAATAAGTCCAGATTCCAAGGCCCGGTTTCAAATCTAAGCAGTCGACTTAGTCTTTGCTCTCTAGCAGCTGGGTGACTATGAGCAAGTTGCTTAACCTCATTGAGCCTCATTTTCCTCATCTATGTAATAGAGAGACTACAAGGGTAAAGTGCAGACACGATCAGGAATGTAAATGCCTCGTACAGTAGTGACAGGCACATAGTAAACATTGCATAGATGAGCACCCCTTTTGGCATTGTTAGGTCATAACACAACACATCCTATCACAGTGCACTATGTGTCATACCTTCATAGCATAGTCTTGCACATGTCTAGAGAACTCAGGTAGTATCTGTGTGGGGTAAAATATTATGTCATCAGTGATTAATCTCCCTCCTAATACTGAATGAACAGTGGAGAGTGGAGAGAACACTGGGCTTGTGCTTAGGGATATCATATTATTGTTTTTCTCTGCTCCTTGGTGTCTCCCGAACCTTTCTTGTGGACCTCAGTTTCTTCATTAGTAAATAAGCAGATGGATTAAATGATCGTCAAGGCCCCTTGTAACTACAACACCCCACTCTCTTAACGTTAAAGGTTATTTTTTTCCTGAAAGGTTTTGTTCTCTCCAGACATTTCTCAGTGGATATGCATGCATGCATGTTCTTCCCTCCCCCCAACACACACACACACACACACACACACACACAGATGGAGTGGCAGAGCAATTGCCCAAAAGCCTGTAATTAACCCAGATAGAAATGACAAGGGTGCCACAATATGCAGACACTTTTCAATAGGGAGGAGAAAAGATGTCCATCTATTTAGCACAACAAAAGGAGGAAAAAATGAAGCAATTAATCAGGGGACAGATCACTTCTATTAGCATGTGCAGCCAACTTTGTAAACAAGAAACCCAATTGTTCATAGAACACTCATCAGTCATGGCAGATGGGAGAGAGATGGGGCATGGCCAGGCACTCAAGAAAACTCCTGTGCTGGTGCTTAAAGAATGAAATTAATTGACATTCTAGGCAGAGCCACAGGAAAGGCTCCGGGCCTCCAGGCTGCCTTGTTCTCTGTGTGAAATCCTTGGCAGCTGCCTAGCCTAAGGAAGAGTGGTAAGAACAAGCAGAGTTCTCCTAGGATTATCACTCCAAGGCCTCAAGGGGTCTTAACCCACCCTGTTTGCCAAAAAGAGGCACAAGAACCCAAGAGTAAGGACTTCCAAGCCCACAAAGTGCCAGCACTTTCTCATAATCCGAAGGCATTAATGTTTATGGAAAGCTAATGATTATGGAATGTCAGTATTATTTCCATTTATTAATGAGGACATTGAGATGTAGCAGTGAAGTAGCTACCTGAGCTAACACAAATGACAAACATCATTGCTCAAGCATATCCACCCGGTAAGCCTTGTCTGACCCTTTCTCTTATGCCTGCCCTGGAGAAAAATGGAACAAAGCATAGGTGAACAGGCTTTCCTTTATATCACCATCATCCTACATCTGTCTGTCCCTGTGGCACTCCACATAATTCTGACTCAGTCCTGTGCCTCCCCTTGTTGGTCTGGCTCCCCTGGCAGGTGTATCTTGGGGACAGGAGGATCCCCAAGAGTTCATAGATTGGCAGGAATGTGTCTGACACCTGCAGTCATGGATAATGATCACAGAAAGGTAAAACAGCATCACCCATAAAGTTTAAAATTGGGCATTGCTAACATTCATCCCCTAAATTAATATTCCCCAGGAGTGAGACCAAGTGGCTATGTGGTAAATAAATAAATAAATAAGTATAAATAAATATATCCAGTCTACATCACTGGCCAGAAGGTACCAGTCTCATGGAGGAGCCCTCAGACTGTGTTTTATGTCATTGTCATCTCAGATACTCATCAGAAGTGCAGATAACTATTCAGTCTCCACTTGAGGGTGCACTGAAGCCAACTCCACAGGGAGTTCTCACACATGTCCAAGAAAAATACAGACTGAGAACAATCCCTTCATTTGACAACTGAGAAAACAAATGTAGAGATGTCTAGTGACTTACTGGCCCCAAGGTCACACAAGGTGGGCAAGAGAGAAAGTTAACAGAGGAGGATCCTGAGTAATAACCCTCACATAAATCTGCGGTGTGCTTTCCTTAGACATTAAATCCAACAATGTTCTCTGTACAAAGCCATAGGATCCTTTTCAGACTGTACACTTTCCTAATGACCAATGAGACTAACGTAATAAGGATAGAAAAACTTGAAGGATGTAAAGGGGAAACTTAAAGGTCTAGAGGTAAAAAAGAGGATTTGATTATTATATTTGCAGAGCTTCAGAAATAGATTGATTCAGTACTGGGGGGGGTGCAGAATCTGAGAACCTGGGTTCTAATCTGTGCTGTGAATAAGTAACCCAAAGCTTTTGTTCATAGCTCAGTGGTATGGTAGAGCACTTGTCCTCTACGTACAAAGTCCTAGGATCAATCCCCAACATTGCAAATAAAAAATCTCTGAGTCTCATCTCCTCATCTTTAAAAAGGAATGGAAAGTTTTAGGTATGACTCAGTGCTAGAGTATTTGCCTAACACATGCAAGATACGGAGTTTGTGAGAGACTAAAATGCTATAGGAGGATTTGATCACATCATGCCAGGAAGTGCTTTGTCAAGTCACAAGACTTCCGAATGTGTCAGTTGTTTTCATATCTAATGCTGGATTCCTATTTGGGCTCCTCTACCCTAGGCATTACAGTGGACAAGTTTGGGCTGATTTACTTCGTCGATGGAACCATGATCAGACGTGTTGACCAGAATGGGATCATCTCTACTCTGCTGGGTTCCAACGACCTTACCTCGGCCCGGCCACTCAGTTGTGACTCTGTCATGGATATTTCTCAGGTAGGGCTTTGTCTGTTTAGCCCTGAGCCAATGCATTCTTCCTCTCATCTGCCCTCAGCCAGCCTTCTTGGCAATGGAAAATATTTTCAGGGGGGCCTATTTGGGAGCAGGGCCTGTGGTAAAGAAAAGAAATGAACTACCCCACATACACATGCTCTGTCCCAAGGGTCCAGTCCCAAGGGTGTGATCATAGCGGAGGCTCGGGGGACAGTGAAAAAGTCTGCCCAGAGTCAGCAGAGTAGGATGGACAGACCTTTACATGATGGGAATTTACATCCACAGCTCCCTGAACTTCCACTTTGGTCATGTGTGTAGGCACCTGAATGTTATATGTTCTTTTATTTTGTGTGTGATGGGGCTTGAACTCTGGGCCTGGGCACTGTCCCTCAGCTCTTTAGCTCAAGGCTAACACTCTACCACTTGAGCTATAGCACCACTTCTAGTTTTCTAGTGGCTAATTGGAGATAAGAGTCTCATGGACTTTCCTGCCCGGGCTGCCTGTGTGCCTTGAGTAGCTAGGATTAGAGGCCTGAGCCACCAGCATCCTTCTGTGTGTTCTCTTTTTATACCACAAGTTACATAAGAAAGGAATTCAGCCTGTCATTCCCTTGACCATTACTAGGATTCGAGTGCATGCTAGGAGCATGCATAGATAGATAGGTAGATACATAGAATCCTGTTTTGCCACTCACTATCTCAGTGACTTTACACAGGTTTGTGAAGTCTTTTGAGCCTCACTTTTCATAATTGTAAGATGGACATAATTCATATCAGCATTGCAGTATGGCCTTGAGAATACATGTGACAATGCATGGAAAGTTCCTGGCACTCACTGCTAAGCACTTCAGAATAAGCAGTCATTGTAGGACCTACTTTCTCAAGGGAGGTGATGACCTGTGTTCAGATTTGGAAATTAAAATAGGGTTTTCTGGATAGCAAAAAAAAAGAGAACAAAAAGAAGCATTTCATACATGTACATACTTGTGCAAAAGCACAAAGATGTGACTGGGCCTGGTACATTCAAAGAATATGGAAGAGTTGATTGTCAGAGCGCAGGGTGATTAGAAGCGGAAGAATTGAAACAAAGAGCAAAGCCTGGAGCCAGTTAGGGAAGGACCTCATACTCCACCAGGGAGTTTCGATCTTGACAGGTAGGGCACCAGGAACTCGGGAGAGACCTGAGAGAGACATGGTAAATGGTTTATCTATCCAGCATGGCTGTTATACATACTGTGATGGCTTAGCAAGTCATGAGTCCTCATTGGTAGGTCTTGGTGTGTGCTCAATCAGTGAGTATCCAGCTGGTAATGCTAACTTTTGCAGATCGTCAGGAATAAGGAGGCTGACTGCGGCCCTTGTTCCCAGCCTCACTTGCCATGCCTGCCTCTGATACCCACACAGATTGTTGAGTTCCTTCCCCCAAAGCCCCGTGGCTTGATGCTGGCATTGCCAGCAACCCATGTCACATCTCCATTGGAAGCTGGTACTGTTGCCTTCTGTGCCAACTACTGTGATGCTGCACTCCAGAGTGGAATCTGTTCTCTGCCACTTGTCTGTGCAATTTGGCAGGCTTCCTGCCTTGCTGGCTCGATTTCTCCCACTTCAGTCTGTGAGCAAGCTGGAATTACCCCATCAGGAAGCCGCCATGGCCTAAGAGGATGTGCATACAACAAGAATTTTCAGTTCTCAAAATGGGCCCTCAACCAGCCAGCTCGGAGTGCTGAACATTTTCAATCCACACATTGGAAAATTGTTTAACCTTAGGAAGAGTTACTGCCAAGCAATCAGATCAAAGGCTTGGAAGACAGCTGGCATAGATTGGAAAGGAAAAAAACGACAAAAAGTCACACTCAGATTCAGAACTCCTGGACTAAACTCTTTATATCCCTGGTTCTCACTACATTCAGTGAATCTAAGCATAAGACTTTAAAAAAAAACTCTCCAACACAGGCATATGTTTTTGCATACACATATAGGCATGAGGGCACTGGCTTTAGTTCTCAGAGTTTCCTTTGTTATCAATACCCACCTACTTTGCTGTCCTCTAGCCAATAGGGAGGAAAATGAGAGAGAGACAGAGAGAGAGAGAGAGAGAGACAGAGACACAGACAGACAGAGAGAGAGAGAGAGAGAGAGAACCCAGCTAGGAGACAAGAATCCAAATGGACAGCTAAGGAACTTGGACCTTCTTCTCTGAGAGGAGACAAAGACCAGATTGGATAAGAGAAGACTCAAGTAGAAAAGTTACTACCTGTGAAGGATTGTAGATTAGTTCCCAGCTCAGCAAGTATGGCCACCATAGGCAGAGTCCACCTCTGTACTTTTGGGCCAGCATAAAAACCCGCTGTGTTAGAAATGTAGACAGAGATGAGAAGGCCATCGCGTTTCTTATTTATATACATATTTACATACATAGTGACAGGGCAGCTGTTAGAAAGGAGGGAACTGAGATTGGGTTGAAGAAAATGCATGTGCAGGTGCAAAACCCTGCACTGGGCTCCATGAGTGATGCTGAAATGATTTTTAAAATGAAATTCGGTACCAAATCCCCTAGCATGGTGCCAGGCACCTGGTAATAGGATGTGAAGGTTAATTCTCTTAAAATCTACCAAAAACTGCCTAATACATTGACCTATTGGATCCTCACAATTATTCTATGTCAGGTGTATTCTTCCCTTTTACATATGGGAAAGGAAGTTCAATGTTTAAGAAACTTGAGTAAGAAGACGCTTTTAGTGACCATGGAAGTGCAGTGACCAACCGGCTATTCATTCATTCATTCGTTCACCCCTTCATATGACAATGAAAATCTGTGGCAAGGTCCTCAGCTCAGAGTGAAGGTACAAGATGCTCAGGAGGACATCTTGGCCCACACCAGGTCCCTCAGACCTGGAAGCTGGAGGGTGGGATGAGTAATGAAGATGGGAAATGAAGCCAGAAAAGGATGATCACTGTAAGGAGAGCACTGTAGGTGCCTTTTTCTATTCCCAGGCACTTCCACACACTGCGGTGTGAGCTGGTATAGGAAGAGCTTACAGTTAATTTCCTCCTCTTTTCCTCTCCGCTGACTCCCTCCCCTCCCTCTCCTTACCCCCACTCATGGTGGGGGGAGCATCTTTTCATCATAATGACAGGCAGAAAGGTCTCCACAAGTAAGTTCCCAAGGTGCCACAGGACCAAGAGGGCATTAAATATTTAGTGGCCCATGTTGACAAGAAATGGGTTTTAAGAAATTGAAAATTCTCCTGTCACTTTAGAGCAAGCTGTGTTCTTGATGCAGCAGAAAACTGCAGGGCTGTGCTCTCAAGAGCACTCGACATGTGAGCAGCAACCTGGTGGTGGCTCTGGGCAGCATCTGCTGCTCCTTTTCTCTGCAGACAGACAGGGACTGGGCTGGGGTGAGGCACTGGGAGGTAGGGCCTGAAGACTGATGGCTGTATGTGTGTGCGTGTGTGTGCATGAACATGCACATTGGTCCTGGGGCTTGAACTCTGGATCTGCTGACCCTGAGTTTTTTTGCCCAAGACTAGTGCTCTACCACTTGAGCCATAGCTCTACTTCCAAGGTTTTGGTGGCTGATTGGAGCTGAGTCTCACAGACTTTCTTTCTGGGGCTAATTTCAAACCTCCATCCTCAGATCTCAGCCTTCTGAATAGCTAGGATTACAAGGGTGAGCCACTAGGCCCTGGCCAGAGTAATGGCTCTGAAGAACTAAGTGTGCACATCGGAGAATACAGAATAGCATTGGACAATGAGGGCAGAGGCAATGGCCATACCACCTGTTTGTATACTTTATTGAATCTCTCTCTCTCTCTCTCTCTCTCTCTCTCTCTCTCTCTCTCTCTCTCTCTCTTTCCCTCTTCTATCTCCTTTCTTTCTCTTCTTGCTGGTAGTACTGGGATTTGAATTTATGGCCTGTACTTACTAGATAGGCACTCTTCTACTTAAACATGCCTCCAAGCCCTTTTCTGCACTGGTTATGTTTGAGATAGGATAGGGTCTCACTTTCCACCCTGGAATCCATTCTATTTTTTGCTTTCCACTATAGCTAAGATGGCAGGTGTGTGTCACCACATTAAATTTCTTCCATTGAGATGAAGTCATGCTGGCCTGAAACTGTGATCTTCACATCAACCTTCTAAGTAACTGGGATTATAAGCATGGGGCACTGGCATCTAGCTTGGGTTTCTCTTTTTACATTGGGAAACCCTTACATGCCCATTGTAGAAATATATATATATATATATATATATATATATA